TTCTCAGGGATTGATGATATTTCATTGACTGTTAGAACCACCACCTGGTGATGTGCAGAGGAAAAGAAAACTAAATTGAGTCATGTGTGTGTGTGCACATGTGTGTGTGTGTGTGTGTGTGTGTGTGTGTGTGTGTATGTGTGTGTGTGCCAGTCTTGAGGTTTGAACTCAGACCTGGGCACTGTCCCTGAAGTTTTCTTTTTCTTTTTTTTTTGCTCAAGGTTGGTACGCTAACCACTTGATTGACAGCTCTATTTATGGCTTTTTGAGTGGTTAATTGCAGATGACAGAGAGTCTCATGGACTTTCCTCATTGGTCTGGCTTCCAACTATAATCCTCAGATCTCAGTCTCCTAGGAAGCTAGAATTACAGATGTGAGACCCTGGCATTGTTAAAATGTAAAATCTGTCTTTTTCTGAGCAAGGAAAATAAACTGGTTGAAGTCAACAATGAATCCAAAATGAAGCAACATCTGCATGTGCCTAGTACAGAGACTGCACATAACAAAAATGTAGCAAAGTGGGGTTTTATAACCCACACAGCTGTTTACGCTACTCTTTAGCAATACTTTTCAGACAGGTTGATTATGACCATCAAGAGACATTTGACAGCGGTGTCTGGAGTCATTCTTGATTCTCATGACATCCAGTAGGTTTATACCTGTGAAAGGCCCACTCCCTCTATCAGCTGAGGAAACCAATAACTTGGAGACCAACTGATGATAGAAGAAAGCTTTATTGACAGTGAGCTAGGTACTTAAAGATGGCTTTCAACCAAACTCTCTCTTGCCAGGGATCATAGGAATAAAAGCTTACAAGAGTTTTCTACAAAGTCTAGCCACAGCCAGGTAGGCACCAGAATGGTCATTAATTCTTACAATAATTAGTCCTCTTGGCATGGTTTTGATATTGTCCGCAAGTCACGAAGTATACCTGCAACATTAAGATGACTGACTAGTTTGTGTTATGGGTGCTGTTCTTTCCATACTCTTTTTCAGGCAAGGTTGACTTTATTGGTTAATTATTTGGAGAATGAGGCTTAGAGGAGTGAGATAAAACAGAAACAGGGAAAATAGTCTTGCTAATATTAAGAACCAGTTAACCTACACATCCTGCAGTACGCTGGACATCCCACAAAAAGAATTATACAGCTCCAAAATATCAGTAGTACTGAGGCTCAAATGTCATGTTGTAGATTTAAAAAAGCATATACAATGTCTTTTTTAGTATAATAAATAATAAATTAAGATGGGTGCCAGTGGTTCATGCTTACTCAGGAGGCTGAGATCTGAAGATTGCAGTCTGAAGCCAGCTCAGGCAGGGAAGTCCACGAGACTCTGATCTCCAATAAACTTCCAAAAAGCTTCAAGTGGAAGTGTTGCTTAAGAGATAGAACACTATGGGGCTGGGAAGATGGCTCAGTGGTAGAGCGCTTGCCTTGCATGCCTGAGGCCCTGGGTTTGATTCCTCAGCACCACATAAGCAAAAAGAAAAAAGCCAGAAGTAGTGCTGTGCTCAAGTGGTAGAGCGCTAACCTTGAGCTGAAGAGCTGAGGGACAGTGCCCAGGCCCAGAGTTCAGGCCCCACAACTGGACCAAAAAAAAAAAAAAGAGAGAACACTAGCCTTGAGCAAAAGAAGCTCAGGGACACTGCCTAAACCCTAAGTTCAAGCTCCAAGACTAGATAAAAAAGAAATAATCATACAATTGATTCTTCACAAAAATCTGTGAAGCTCTTTATTCACTGTTAACTTATGTTTCCAAAGTTGAGGTAAGTAGGTTTCATCAACCATAAATATTTCCCATCAAAACAAAATTTCATCGAGTATTACTAACACCCTCAGGACTAAAACCTATAGTGCGCCAAGACAGATTGATTTACACAAATTCAATTTGCATAAATTTCAAGAAATTTGCATAAAATCAGGAACATCTGTCTAAGCTAAAATGTAAGCTATATTTTACTTGATCTGTCATCTTTTCTCCTTTAATAGATATTAATATATATTCAAGTTGTCTAAGCTGTTGTTTTGTTCTACCCCACTGTTTAGAGATAGTCAACTATCTGAAATACTTCCTGGAATCACATAAACACTTTTGATAAAAATGTATAAGCAAACACTTGATCAACCTTCTTAAGAGTTTAGGCTATAGATGGTTCCCTTCTTATCACATTCTATCACCCAGAGGCAAAGGTTTTAAATAGGTCAAGATGTTTGGCTTTTCCTTTGTCCTTCCTGTCTTAACCCAGAAAAGGCATCTGCTTGCTTAGTCACTGAATATCTGAAAATAACCTCTCCATCTCAAGTAGCCTACAAGATATAAAATGGCAGCTCCCAGGTAACAACACACATGATCAGCATTATCCATCTTGAGGTGGGAAATTCAGTGTGTTAGACCAGAGAACGTACATCCTATGTCTTCTGTATTTGGAATACTGGCAGATGAATGCTAAACAAAGCTGAGGTATGAGGACATGTTTCAGTCTAATCAGTAGATGACTGACTTTGGGATTTTCTGTCATGCAGAGCATGTGGTATGGCTCCTATTCCAAGTGTGGAAATGCTGTAAGATAAAGAATTCTGCTGTTTCCTGCTGTTACTTAAAACATCTTTAACATTTAATTCAATTCATGGTGGCAGTTCACAAAGTATTTGAGATGACATAAAAGAGCCAATGGGATCTATCCAATAGGACTTTTGATAATGAGGAAATGTTATATATCTATTATGTCCAATTCAGTCAACCAGAAACTATAGGTAGCTACAATGTTAAGAATTTTGCATCCTAGCTGAATAAATTAATTTTTTATTTAATTTTAATTTAAATGGACATGTGTGCCTAGTAGCCACCATAATCAATAATGTCAGCCTAGGGAAGTACTAAAATCTAGGGAAGTACTAAGTCATCATTCTAAAACAGGTACATTGATTCTTTTTTTTCTTTTCTTCAAATAATAATGATAAATTATAGACTTATTTAGAAAATAGTAGAAAATGCTTCATATAATTTTATGAGTAACATAATTACTATGCATTTTGTAAAATTCTAAGCTTTTTCTATGTATTTTTTGTTGAATTAGGTAACCTGTCTTTTGATTTAGCATGAGAGAATATATTTCTTTTCTACTGAATAATATTTTTAAGCCATCGAATCTAACGTTTGTTATTTCTCCAAGTGTTGTAGCAATGTTTATTTCTTTTCTTTTTGAAATTTTGGATTGTTTCCTTTGTTTGCATGCTTGTTTGGTTTCGTGGTCATTATAAAATAGTGCTACAGTAAACACTGAAATCCTGTTCCTATTTCTCCTCTTCAGAATACATTATCATGCAAAATGTTTGCGTTTTATGCAAGGAAAAATTTACATCCTTTCCCTCCCTCATTTTCATTTTGAAAGAGTACTTTTGATTATACTTACGGGGGAAAATGGACTTGAAAGCTGACAAAAGGAAAGAAAGGCAAGACTTTTCTCTCTGCAGCCCAATTAAATTGATAAATTTTGAGGCAGATTAATATTCCTTCCCATGTAACCATAAAAAATGCTGATAAAATATAATGGTATTCAGGGCTGATGGCACAGACATTTACCTTCCAAATGGAAAATAAGATCCTAGGCATAAACCCTGCCAAGAAAATATTTTACATATATAGATTCTCCTTAGAATCTCTAAAAATGAAAAAATGGCAAAGGAATAAAAAAATCCAACTCTGTTTTGCTTTGTTCTTTGTAAATGTACAGAGTTATACATTATCACATCCCCAAACCATCCTACTTACAATGTAAAGTGATATGAATATAATACAAGTAAACCTTCACACATTACATGATTAGGAATTATTCTTGGAATCTTAAACATCTTAGATGCATTTTAGATGCTAGTAAGCTATTACATCATTTTTTAAATTTTCTTTTAAAACCAAGCTTCCATGTTAATGCTCTGATCCATCAACATACAACCAGAACCTTGCTTATCAGCAAATAAATTAATCCATAATACTTTGAATATTACAATTTGGAAGTGAGGTATTACCAGCATGCATAAGTAGTTTCAGCTTCTGTTTGTTTCATTCCTTGTCTTCATTAGAATTGAGTTTTGTCATTAAGGAATTGAACATTGACTGCATAAGTGCATGTAGTAATTAAACATTAAGTTATATATGTGAAACCACTTTGGAAATCACAAGAACCATAAAAAATATTTATATTTTAAGAAGTGTTCTTTGGACATCATATGCATGAAAAGTAGCTTTTAAAATTGGCCTAATGTAAAGAAATCCAAATTTCTCTGTCTCTATCTCTGTTTCTGTCACTCTCTCTCTTTCTCTCTTTCTTTTTTCCTTTTTCTTTCTCTCTCACAAAGAATTTAATAATTTATAGTATGGATTTATTTTTCCCTCACATACCACTATAAAAATGTTTGGACCAATAAAATAACAGCAGTTGGGGCTTTTGTTAGTGAGACCAACTGGGGACATAGATCTTTGTCTTGGAAATGGAACATAAGTCTCCAGATGGCAAATTGCTGGCACTTCGTTTACAATGTAAATACAGCACATTGCCAGAAAGTCATTTGAAAAAAAAATCAATAGTGTTTATACTGGAAATGTTTGAAAAATGCTTGGAAGGCCATCAACTCAATATGCACTTGGTAGACTATCTAGGGAAAATATTTGAAGCCTGTGAGCTTTTTTTGTTTTCTATTACCCAGTTAACTTGTTGCTTTCTTCACTCTTACTGTCACTTATTTAAAGATGCCTCTAGTTTTTGCATTAGTATGAACAATATATCATTATGCAGTTGACTCTGCTTAAAATAGTGTAATTCCAGGGCCATATACCAGTGGAAAGCATTCTCTATGGCACTGTATTCTGATTTGCATGTGGGCCATGAAGAAGAGTTGAACACTGCTTATGCAGGGCCATTGTGCTAAGGAAATCCCAGGTGGGAAGACTCCAATATTTTAGCTAACAGAATCCATAACTTGACTCTTATGAATTGCAGGTGGTTTTCATGAGCCTATGCAAAAGTTTTTGGGACTGTGGACTTGTAGCCCTGGATGATATTATGATACAGTTAGGAAGCTGCAGGTCTCCAGGTAAGAGGGCAATCTTTTCAGCTGTCTCTTGGTCCAATAAAGGACATCCAGTTCTTCTAAGAAATGTACATTTAATCTACACCAGTCCATCCTTTGCTTTTCTTTACCGATGTGCCTCTCTATAGGGCTTGATAATGAGCTTTGGAATTTAGAAATGTTTCCAAGCCGGGTGTCAGTGGCTCACACCTGTAATCTTAGCTACTTAGGAGGCTGAAACCTGAGGATTATGGTTCAAAGCCAGCCTAAAGCAGGAAAGTCTGTGAGACTCATATCTCCAATTAACTACAGGAAGTAGCACTGTGGCTCAAGTAGTGGAGCATCAGCCTTGTGCAAAAATTGCTGAGGGACTGCATCCATGCCCTGAGTTCAAGCCCCATGACAAAAAAGAAAAGAAAAGAAAAGAAACAATGACTCAAATGAGTTGTGTGTCTTCGTACATATAACTTAACCCTTCTAGCTTCATATGTAAGGGAAATATGAACACACGCCTGAATATCAGAGATAATACATATACATTTTCTAACATGGGACCTGGCAAAACAAACAAAACAATGTTTTAAAAGCAAATATCACTGGGCACTGGTGGCTCATGATAGTAATCCTAGCTACCCAGGAGGTTGGGATCTGAGGATCCCAGCTTGAAGCCAGCCTAGGCAGGAAAGGTCCTTGAGACTCTTGTCTCCAATTAACTATTAAAATGCTAGAAGTAGAGCTGGGACTCAAGGAGTAGAGCACTAGCCCTGAGCAAAACAGATAGTAGTGCTTAGCGATAGTGCTAGGTCCTGAGTTCAAGACCCAGGACCAGTGAAGAGGACAGGGGAGGAAGAGGCAAGAGCTTGCTAAGAATCTGGATGTAGAAAGATGAAATGAAGTTCAGCCAAAGTAGAAGTCTGCAGTGGTTTGGGAGGCAGTATTTACTGCAGCAAAAATAATTAGTAGAGTTTTTGAAGTTAGCATTGAAAGATGAATAGTTGTCTTTGGAAATAGAAAATAAGGCTCTTATTAATAAATAATAACTCTTTTTGTGTGCAAGTCCTGGGGTTTGAACTCAGGGCCTGGACACTGTCGCTGAGCTTCTTTTTTGGTCAAGGCTAGCTCTCTACCATTTGAGCCACAGAGCCACTTCCAGCTTTTTTTGTGTATATGGTACTGAGGAACCAAACCCAGGGCTTCATGCATACTAGGCAAGCGCTCTACCACTAAGTCACATTCCCAGCCATAACAATTCTTAATATATGTCTTACTACTAATTATTGAGAACTTGTTCTGAATACTTGGCATATATAATCTCATTTAATCTTTGCAAACTAATGAAAAGGATACCATTACTATTCCCATGTTACAGATAGGAATACCAGGCTCAGAGAAATTTATCATTTGAATAACGGAGCTCTGTGTGCACATGTACATTGAGTTCCCTTACATGTCTTGTCCTTCAAGGCAGCTGCAGCTGAGCATCAGTGGCTCACTTCTGTAATCCTAGCTAGTCAGGAGGCTGAGGTTTGAACAGTGTGGTTCAAAACCAGCTGGGGCAGGAAAGTCTGTGAGACTCATCTCCAATTAACCACCAGAACACCAGAAGTGATGTTGTGGCTCAAAGAGATAGAACACCAACCTTCAGCAAAATAAAAAAAACTCAGAGACAGTGCCCAGGCCCTGATTTGAAGCCCCACAACCAAAAACAGAACATAACAACAGCTATGAAGTTATTCTTGGGATTTCCTTCACTCTCCATGGATTTGTGAAGAAAGCTCCTGCATTATGCAATTTTATTATTTTTTTCAGATTTTCATAGAGGAAAATCTATCTCCAATTTTCAGAGTTTTGAAGCTTATAGGCACAAATAAATTCACAGGTTAGGGAAAGCATATATTTTTCTCAAGGTAGATTTAGATTTATAATTTGGACAGGACCTCTGGTAGGGTAGAGACCGTAACAGGAGGCGATTGTGTGGTATCGGTGGGCCTCCGGGGGAAGCCTGCCTCTCCATATGTATGACATTATGGCCAGACACCTCTTAGACAGGCAGAATGGGCTGCCAGGGAACCATGAGATGCATATTCATTGTAAATGTCTCAGCAGTTGCAACACCTGCTGTTTCCTTGCAGAAAGACTTCCACCTCCACCTGGAGAGTGTACTTTCGATCAAGATGAATGTGCATTTACGCAGGAGAAAAGGAACCCGAGCAGCTGGCACAGGAGAAGGGGTGAAACTCCCACCTCCTACACAGGACCCAAGGGAGATCATACTACTGGGGTAGGTGAGTTAAGCCATATGGTGTTATTTCTCAAGGAAACCTTCACAAAGCAGCATCCTAGGGGTAATTATTGCATTCCGAAATGGGCAAATACGTCTTGGGTCTAGAATGAACGACATATGAATATCTACACACAAAGGAGAATTCGGCATGTGATTTGAAAGTCATTCTTTCTGTGTCTACTTATGTGTATTATTTTCTGTTTATTCCTTATGTATAGTATGAGGGTATAAGAGGGCTTACAAAAATAACCAAAGAGAAGTAGATAAATGAGAGAGGCCAGGCACCAGTGGTTCATGTCTATAATCCTAGCTATTCAGGAAGCAGAAATCAGAGGACTGCAGTTTGAAGCTAGCCCAGGCAGGAAAGTCCATGAGTCTCGTATTTCGAATTAGCCACCAAAAAGTCAGAAGTGGAACTGTGGCTCAAGTGGTAGAGTGCTAGCCATGAAAGAGGGGGAAACAAACTCAGAGACAATGCTCAGGCTCTTAGTTCAAGCCCCAGGATGGACACATGGAAAAGAAGGAAAAGATAAATGAAAAGAAAAGGAGGAAAGGAAGGAGGAAGGGAGGGAGGAAAGAAAGGAAAGAGGAAAGGAAGGAAGGAAGGAAGGAAGGAAGGAAGGAAGGAAGGAAGGAAGGAAGGAAGGAGGGAGGGAGGGAGGGAGGGAGGGACAAAAGTTGGGGGAAAATAATCATTGGAAGCAGAACCAAGGCTGAGGGTTAATATATAAAATGTATGGGCTGATGGGAAGAATGCATACCAGTTTGATTCCAAGGTTTCTAGAGTTGAAACAAAAATAGAAAATGTATTTGTGAGATATAATTCACAACCTGCTTAGGGTGAAAACTCAGAGTATTGTGAATCAAAGGAATAATTTTCCAAAAAGAAAATGTACAAATTACTTTCAGCATTAAGAATTATAAGGAAACTCCCAGAATCTCTGAGACTTTAGCTGAAAAGATCCCAGGAAGTTGAGGTGATAAATAGAAAGACTATATATGTTAAGACTATTCTGATAGCTTGTAACAGAAAATAGAACTCAAACTGACTTAAGTGGAAAGAAATCTTTTATTAGACTTTGGAACAGAAAAAGGACAGCATGGAGCTAGATATGGTGGCTCATGTCTGCAATACCAGCTACTAAGAAGGGGACGGTTGCGGTCAGACTATATAGAACTTAGCAAGATTCCATCCCAACAAGTCAAACATGGTTGTGTATGCCTGTACTTCCAGCAATAAGGGGAGTACAGGTAGGAGGTTTGTGGTCCAACCCTGAGCAAACACATGAGACATTATCTAAAAAATAACTCAAAAGCAAAAGGGCTGGGGACACGTGCCCACGTTCAAGTAATAGAGTACCTGTCTAGATAGTTTAAGACCCTGAGTTCATATCCCAGTACTGCCAAAAAGAAAGGGATGCAGAGGATAAAACCATCACTTATGAAACCATCTTACTCAATTTACTTCTCTGCGCTTGCTTTTCTGGATTGGCTTTAATCCTAGACAGATCTCCTACTATGGGAGGAGCGTGACAATAGTAGCTGTGTCTCATAGACTTTCGATACTGAATCAGAGTAAAGAAAGAATTCCAACAAAATATCACCATTGACCTTCATTAGCTCTGATTGGCAGCATTTTGAGGCAGGATACTGTAAAACTCACTCTGAATTCCCACAGGACTTAGCGTTACATTTTATACATAACAGACATGCAAAAGGGTCTATGAGAGGAATAAATGAATTAATTAATCGATAAACTTTCGCTGGCACATGAAAGAATAATCATTTATATAGCAAGATCTACAAAATGGGATTGTGGGAAGGAATCAGTTTTACTTTAAGAGCAGTAATGTTGATTCTAAGTCAGTTTTATCTAGAGTCCACTGGAATTAAGATAGGATATGTATGTGCATTTGGGGGGGGAAATATCAATAGTAACTAAATAGGCCATAATAAGAGGTACTTTAATGAGTATCATGAAAGATGGCCATGGTGTATGGCGGGGGGTGGACTTAGAGTTCAAAAGCTCACAAAATGCTTTGGATAAGGAAGACAGGAAGAGCAACATAGTGGTGAACAGCGGAAGGAAGGAATCCCGAAGAGGCCAAGAAGTCTGTTGTAAGCAGACAGTGCAACAGGCCCTGTACTTTGAACTTGGAATATCCTAAAATTCTTGTATCGCTGAGTACGAGACTCTAGAAACGTCATTTATAACCTGAAAGTTTCTGTTTTGTCATTCCAAAAATGAGAAAATGATTTAACCTATTTACCCGCCTTCAGAAAGCAGTCTACGTTCAGGATGTCAGTGAGATAGTTTTCTTGTGGCTTCTCTGCCTCACCTGGCCTTTTCTCTGTGTCAGTGTAGCCTTGACATCTCTTCCTATGGCATTCATCATATTGGATTAAGGCCCACCCTACTAACCCCACTGTAACTTCATTAACTCTTTAAATGCCCTATCTCCAACTACAGTTGTATGCTGAAGCACTAAAGTTATGGCTTCAACATAGATAATTTGGAGAGACATACCTCAACCCATAAGACAGTTCTTCCCAGAGATTAGTGCAATGCACCGAACATTGAAAGTAGACGCTTAAGTGACTGACAACCTGCCCTTGTCCTGCTCCTTGTGTCTACATGATAAATTAATTTTGTGACCTCAGGTTGTTTGACTTGTAGACTATGTCCTACTTCCTTCTCCTATCCGCAAAAATCTAACAATAATCTATGCAATAGATATTAAATTACTCAGAATTAAACTCCTTTGCTTAGATTATTTTGGGATTATGAGATCATTTGTTAGCTTTGTTTAAAGAGAACAATGTACTTTGCTTGCTTTGTCTCTTTGAAAAACTTAAAAGGATGTTTCAGCTGACTGGGGTGAAACTTCACAGTAAACATTGAATGCAAAACCTTCCTAACGTGTTCAATATTTATTCTGAGGGAGTATTTGATGCATTAGATGAAACTCTCTGGTGCACAACGCAGACTGCTGAATTTTTAAAGCAAATTATTTCTGTGGTCTGTCTTCTTCATTCTTCATTTTACCAATTTTAATACAAATTCCTGAAAGCTTCTTGAGACACCTTTTAGTTTTTTCTAACTAAATAAAGTCTTTTACAGGTTGTAATTTTTTTATTCCTAGGTGCAACCACACAAATGAGAAAACAGATGTTGCTATTCTGAACCCAAGCTACCCTCAGGTGTAAGGCAGTGGGTTGCAGATGTTTTGTTTATGCTCTTCTTTTTTTTTTTTCTTTTGGTCAGTCATAAGGTTTGAACTCAGGGTCTGGGCACTGTCCCTGAACTCTTTTTTGTTCAAGGTTAGCGCTCTATCACTTTGATCCACAGCACCACTTCCATTTTCCTGGTGGTTTATTGGAGATAAGAGTCTCACAGACTTTCCTGCTCATACTGGCGTTGAACCGAAGAGCCGAAGATCTCAGAGTAACTAGGATTACAGGCATGAGTCACCAGCACCTAGTATTGTTTTCTGTTCTTCAAATCACTTTAATAGCAATTTCAATGGGAGAGATAATAAGAGTACCAAACGTTTATTGAATATTTCACCCATGCAGGCATTGTGGGGAATCTTTCGTTACATCCTTACTACTACTTGTAGAGTAAGTAGATGGTCCCCGTTGCAGAAGTTCAGAGAGGTGAAATGCCCTGCCTGCATTACACAGTAGCCACTGGTAAAGTAGAGCCTGAACTTCACTCAAGTGTGCTTGTCTATAATGACCAAATTTGTTCCATGCTACTTCATCACAGTCTCCAAGCCTACACGGCACTCAGAGTTCACACGTGACCCAGAATGACCATGGCGAAAGCATCACCAACTTTCACATAGCAATATAAACTCACCATGAACATATGTCACATCAAAGGAGGGAATTGCCTTCTCTTCGAAAGGCTATGCTTAAACTAATGATATACATGAGTCTCATTAAAAACTCATCAGCAGAAAGAAGCTATATTTTTAAGCTAGTTCCAGTATCTGGAGATCAATACTGCGAGTTCAACTCGCACCTATTGTATAACCTCAACAGAGAGAGAAGTGGCTTCTTCTTGCCCTGGTATCTAATGGTTGAGCTAAGTGAAGTTGTTATATTGGCTCTCAGATCACAAGGTGCCAAGAGCTACCTATGCAAAGACACCTTTTTTGCCAGTTAAGGGGCTCAAACTCAGGGCCTGGGCATTGTCCCTGAGCTTCTTTTGCTCAAGGTGAGCACTCTACCACTTGAGCCACAGCACCACTTTTGGCTTTTTCTGTTTATGTGGTACTAAAAAATCAAACCCAAGGCTTTGTGCATGCTAGGCAAGCACTCTACCACTAAGCCACATTCCCAGATCCTCAAAGACACTGTTAAGACAACTTTTGCTTGTTAAAGACACCAGTTTCAGAACAGAAGCTTCAAATGTCTTAGAACTGGGAATGATCACTAATGTTAGAGCCCTTGGGCCTCTAAGGTTTTGACTCCTTCCATATTTCCTGAGCACTTGATATACATTATGCACCAAATAAGGAACAAAGGGCCCAGAATTATAACCAGCAAAGTGACGAGGATTAAGCTCTACAGATAGTAAAACTTTACTGAAGGCAGCGCTAGCTCTCACGGGGAGTTGATGGAGAATGAGTTGGAGTTAGTCAGAAATGGAGTGAGGAAGCAATTCAGGATGAGGAAACAGCAGGTGTGAGGCATAAAGCCCTTAAACAACAGGGCAGTTTTCTGGAATGGTAAGTTATTATGCTTGGTTGGCCTGCAGAATACTGTCAACCAGTATTCCCAAGAAAGTAGACTTGGATGCATGCAGTATGTTGGAGATATTCCAAGGAGCAGGGGTGTAAGGCAAAGGCCTTAAAACAAAGACTAGGAGAAGATTTGATACAAGGATTCATCAGTGACGTGTCCATAGCTACAGCTAATTGGTTGCTTACTCATGTGGGAACATCTTGGAAACCATGTTGTAGGTCTCAGGACCATAAAGGAGGAGAAAGGAGA